TCTTCTCATAGGCGACAACTTCAATATTAGAACTAGACTGCATAAATTCTGTGTTGACTGACTACTCGCTAACTAACGTGAATAAAGTATAAAACCCACTTGTAACAGTTTAAAATCAGGGGGAAAAAAAATGTTGTAATCGTTCTTGCAATATGCTACACAAATTAAATAAAAGTAGTAACTAGTACAGCTAAAAGTTAACAAAAACACTGACCTTGAAGCACTAGAGGATAGTTTCGTCCGGGTATGGAGCACTTATCAGCAGTGCACATTTCCAACAGTAGACACATGGTAACCGAGCCTAGAACATTCGGTCTCGCTAGCGAATGCTCTTAACCTCTGAACCACTGAGCCGGTATCCAAAGATGTAACTGTCTAATTCTTATCACTCCACTGTATTGCGTAACCTCACCCATTTTCTTTCGTAAGTAACTACGTACATCCAGTAGGGGTTCGTTCACCTACACTGGTCACAGCTTCTCACTAGAACGCCGAGAATTTCCTCATGAAGTGAGTCACTCACTAGTGACAAAGCTAAATAAACTAGTTATTCTTCAATACATCATACAAGATACTTTGAAAATGAATCTAATTAGAAAATTGCATAAGCTACCAAGATAAACAAACCTCAAATGGTTTCTACCTCCAGAAAGTTAAATAATCAGTCTTCTGATTTGATGAAACAATCCTTATTATGTCATACTAATTCATTATGAACTCAATAACAAGAATGATTACTTGTTAAACATCCAGAAATACTTATAAATATCCGTACAAGTGATATTGAAGACAAATTGAATTCTGATATAATGTATGAAGTCAAGTATGAGGCAGCTTTTGAATTTTGAGTTATTACTTGTAAGGATCAAAAATTAAAACTTCTTCCACATACCTGGTTATCAGTTAATGTCACAATCACAAACTTTATCATTGACATATTGAAAGTGTGACTGATCGATCACTTGTAGCACGAATATCGGGTTGACATGATGTGAACAAAATTTTACGATCATTCAGTAAGCGAATACCTCTTTCAATCAATCTCTTCTTTTCTCTTGTATCTTTTTCTCTACCTGACCATTAAAAAACTCTCTGTTTATCGCATTGAGGTTTGCATTACGGGATTGTGAAGTTTGTTAATTTACTGACTGAATCGATCAATCTTAGACAACCATTAGAAACCTGTGTAAGCACTGGACAGCCGTTTAGTGTCGGTATGGGAGCCAGTCATCAGTGAGCATAGGTGATTTCATTACGGGGTTGTGAAGATTGTAAAGTTATGCAAGACCGTGAATTGATTGAATGAAGTCTAGAGGTTAGGCGTTCGTTCATACGCGAAACCAAAAGTCCTGGGTTCGAATTCTGCCAGGTGCAGGAGTCGTGGATGCGCACTGTTAATAATGAGTCCCATACCATGGACGAAACGGCCGTCCAGTGCTTCCAGGTTTCTTCTAATGGTGGTCTAACATTGATCGATTTATAAGTATTTAAATAAATGATTGATATCTATTATCAAGATTATCAAACATTCGAAAAAACAATAACGTCTGAAAAATCCAGTTTTGATGAAATCATTGTTAGACTATATCATTAGAAGAAACCTGTTGGAAATTGTGGTAAGTTGAGCAATATATGGTCAATTGTCTGAAGTTAAACATCAATAACATTGGATGCTAGCTCAGTGGTTTCAGAGGTTTGGCGTTCGAGCTCGAGATCTAATGTCTTGGGTGTTTGATTGCCGAACAGACAGTTCGTGGAGATGCACTGCTGACGAGTCCAATACTAGGGACGAAACGACCGTCCAGTGCTTCCAGGTTTCTGACGGTTGCCTAACATTAATATCACTTTATGATCACAACGCAAATAATATTTCTCCAATCAAACAAATTCAATTTTGACATGAAATAAAAAGTCATTTATGGGGTTGACCAATATGTTTATTTGTAAAAAAATCAAACATAATAAATTATATTAATAGTGTCTTATGATATTTTTTTTAAAGTGTTATGTACACATACTTTTTTTTCTCATAATTTCAATTATTTTTTTTTCAACTCCAAGTGAAATTTCAAAATTGAAAATAATAATTGTATCAAACAGAAAAAAAGGAAACTGTTCAAATTTATAAACCTTTACTAAAAATATTGTTTCACATTGATCACAGCATGATACGCATATTTTTCTCAAACCATTATATGTATCAATGTGTTCATTTTGAATTTGTAATTTGAAACAACAACAAACCCGAATACATTAAAACAACAGTCATATTTAAATTGTACAATATTCAATATTAATTTTGTGTTTTTCAATATAACTGAATAAAGTGTTGTAATGAATGTAACATGTTCACATGTTCAATACTCATTGAATAATATAATTACAGACAGAAAAAGAAACCAAATTAACAAATTACCGAATTATTGTCTGTTTGTTATTCTGATATTATTGTTTGTCGGTATGAGAATTGTTTTTTTTTTGGAAAATTAACTGAATTTCTCACTTGAAACTTCACAACTCGATCAATACTGGAGGACCAGGATTAATTAATGAACCTGAAAGCGCTGGATGGCTGTTTCGTCCTGGCAGAGGAGAACTCATCAGTAGTGAACATCTCTTTATAAAATAAAATTTCGAAAAAAAATTAATGTACTATATATGGGGTAAAAGTAGCTCGCTCGATTCTTTCTGAGTTGTTGTGTTTACTTTAGAAAATCTTCATAAATTCTGTCTTCTTCTTCTTTTTAATAATTTAGTGCAAGTTTAAAATTGATGCAAGGAGAGTGGTGGTGTTTTTTTGGGGAAATAACAACTTGTGGTGCTGTGGTGTGAGCTACTTATAAGTAGTATATGACGTAAGTGTCAACGTAATGTCTGGCAGCAGAAGATGGGGGAAGATCAAGAAAGGAAGAGTTAGAAAACAATGGAATTTGTATGAAACACATGAATAGTGACAATGGAATGCGGTTTTGCAACAGGAACAGTCCAGTTTGATATTATGAACTGATATTTTGCAAATGAACGATTTACGATATGGTTTTCCTATTTTACCAATTCACTCTGTAATTTTCGTTAAATACAACTCGGTTGCCCCACCTGTGTTCTCGTTCACTACAAACTTACAACAACCAACCACTTCCAAAGAAAACAACCTAATAATCAATTTGTATTTCTTTATTTGGTTACAGGATTAAACACAATCTTCATGCAGTTTATATTATATTATATTTGTCATGAATTCATTTTAACATTACTGGCTAAGAGTATATTGACTAGTGTATATGTTGTGTTTCCAGTCACACGAAACATGATAGATAATAGTAGGAACTTTACTTTGTGATACATCATCGTACTGAGATTAGCAGCGAAATACTGAGGAGCGTTAACACATTGTTAGTAAGTGATTTTTATTAAGAGACACTTTTCCGTGCGTTCAATAGGTTTTTGGATGTAAAAGTATAATACTGTTGTAAAAGTTCTATACTATCTATTGACAAACATAAGTTAGCTAGGAGAGATCGGAGAAAACTTATCAATGGATGTCTTTTATGTGTAGGTAGCTAGAGTGATTTTGGTAGCTGAAGTAACCGAACGGCGACACTAGGAATCTCTCTGCAGTATTTTATCGGTCAGTGTGCTGTTATTCCTTTTGCTTTTTAACTTTTATTCAGAACTCTTGTAATCTTCTTGTTTTATGTTTTTTATCCATTATAAGGATTCAACTATGATTGATGTTAATCTTGATTACTTAATTTTGTTGTTGCTTGTTTTTGGAGCCGTTAACACTTACTTAGGTCGTGTTTGACTATAAACTCATGATTCTTTTTATCGATCTATTTATGTATGGATTGTTTGCGACTTAATAACAACAACATCAAAGTGATCCTCACAGAACGCCCTTAGGCCACCAAATGAAGCTGATCAATTACAGTCCTAAAAACATCAAATAAGAAGCATCAAATCAATACAAATAGAATGATAAGTTTTCATAATGCTGTTTCTTTTTTTTTAGAATAATTCTAAAATAGATAATAAATAATAAATAGTCTCAAACTGTAGAAAAATCATGTAGACAATTATTAACTTATAAATAAATAAATAAATAAATATATATATATATATATATATATTGAAGAAAGCACCCAACTACGCTACAAGGCAAGCGCTTACTCGTATTGCTCATGTCCAGAAAAAGAGAGGAAGACCAAAGAACACATTACGCCGAGAAATGGAGGCAGGCATGAGAAGAATGAATACCAACTGAATAAAAATGGCAAACAGCGCTCAGGTCAGAGTAGGTTAGAGAATGCTGGTCGGCGGCCTATGCTCCATTAAGGGGTAACAGGCGTAAGTTAGTGAGTAATATATATATATGTATATATATCTTCAGGTATATCCCTCTCCAAAACACAATGAAACAATTAAATCAACAAAATTTTTTATTAAATATCAGTGATAATCATTAATAATTTTACATTTAAAAATTCTTTTTTATTTTTAAAAATACAATAATACAGTATTACTATTTACACATGGTATTTTATTTATTCTACAAATTTTAAACGCAATAGAATAAAACTCAATAATATTGATAATTTATTTACCCTAAAAATGAGGTATTGAATCGCTTGAATCGCATTGAATTTTGAATTATTTGAAAAAAACATCATTTCAACAAATAAGTAATCAATAATTTACATTTACAATGAATAAATGCGTGTTGGTTAAGCAGCATCAGTTTACTGATGAGATTTAAACAATACAAGAAACTATCTTGATTTACAAATATGTTTTAAATTTTTTACTAATATCGTTCTGTTCAATGTTCAATGTGGTTGAATGAGGCAGTTCATTGAACGTTGAAAAGAAAAAAAACAACTGAGTAATTAAATACTCTTAAATATTCAAAAAAGCAAGGGAAAAAAAATCTACAATTTATAAATGATAAATTAAAATTGTACAAAAACCAAAAGATAGAAATCCGAAAGAATCCACCTAATTGATTGGAGGTTTTACGAGACACTGTCATCATCATCATCATCGTGATTATTATTATTATTATTGCTATCATTATCGTTATTCGTCTCATTGCTAGCTCCATGACCATATGTCCAATATCCATTCGAATCCGATTTACGACCAATGATTGGGGCAACTTTTGGACAATTCCAATAAGCATTATATAAATTGTTAGTTGGCTTGAATTTATAACTCATTGACATAATAGATTTATTGGTTTCAGATAATTTTTGAACTTTATGATATAAATCTGTTATATCGCTTAGTGTATTCACCGTTTCATTGGTTGATACCTCTGGTGATAGAACAGTTAAAGCATGTTTTAACTGTGGTGCATCATATGACTGCTGTGTTTTTTCATCGTCCTGCACTAATTGATAATTGTCTTTCGGGTTTTTCATTTCATCTCTATTACTACGGTCATCATTTTTACGTGTATCATTTGATGATAGTTCAAAAGTTTCATTTTGTTTCATTGAGAAATTATTAAGTTTGAATAAGTTATTTGAATAAGAACTTAAAGCATCATATGGATAGGCATGAAATTGATTAGTTTTTATTGCATATTTATTTATTCCATCGTTTATGTTATCTTCAAGAGGTTGATGAATACTTCCAGTTGGAATATGGTCATCCTCTTCACCATCACCATCCTCATCATCGTCCTCTTGGCCATTGTCACCTTCCTGTTCATAATCATCACCGAACTCCTCCACTTCACCATCATCAGCATCGGCGTCATCCTCATCGTCATTAACATCCTCAACATAACAAATTTGACTGTAATCATAGCTACAGCTAGGGTTGAATGATTTACTAGTCATTTTGACATTTTCACAATTTTCAACATCGTCCCCAACATCAACCTCATCATCATCATCATCACCTGATGTTGATGAGGAGGAGGAAGAGGAGGATGCGGATGAAGACGATGCTAATTGATCTGCCAGTAACTCATTATCTAATGAAGAATACATTGGAATGTTTGTTTGTGATTGACATTTATATTCTAATCGGGAATTTTCCAAATGTAACGGAGACGAATTAGAAGAACAATCATATTGTTCAAAATGTACAGGTGCAGATGATAAGGAATGATCAAGTAGTAGATAATATGCTTTATTTCGTTTCGTATATTTCTTTTGATCAGTTGGTTGTGACTGGTTCACTGGTAAATTATGCCATGTTGTTGTAATATTACCATCATCGAAAAATTGTTGACTAGACAGACGCAATTGTTGGGATTCATTGATGCCCATTGTCATGAGTTCAGTGGAATTTGGTTTCTGTGATGATGGTGATAATGGTGATGAGCTGGGTTTATTATTGTTGGAATGATGTTTTTTTAAGTTTTTAATTTGTAATTTTTTACATGAATTATTATTATTATTATTATCTAATTGAATAATATTATTATTAGGTATAGATGTTCCAGTCACTGATGATGATTTTTTAGTGAATTTTTTCGGTTGTTTCAGTTCATGATCATGATTTGTTGATGAGGATAATAGTAATACCAATCCTGATGATGACGATGATGATTTGGTAGATTTTAGCGAATTTTGATGTTTCACTTTAGGCATACTCGCAGTGGACATTGAATGATGATGATCAATAGCAGCAGTGGTAGTAGTAGTAGTAGTAGTACATGATTGTTTTAATATAGACGGACTAGATTTTGTTGTCAATGGTAATGATTTCAAACTGTTCACACTGTTCAATGGTGAATTTGAAGAAAAGGTCATATTATTATTATTATTATTATTATTATTATTATTATTATTATTATTCAATGGATTCAATGTGGATTGTTGATCAGTGGGTTTTAATTTAAAATATCTATAAACAGGAGTTAAATGTACAGCATGGAATTGATTCAATGGATCATATTCTATAATGTCACCAGAAGCAAAATTGAATGATGCATAACAAGGTACAACTGGATTAGAAGAGAGAAAAAAAATGGAAAGAAAAGTAGACAATAAATGTAGAATTAGATTTTGTATTTGTTTATTTAATTATGAAAGTTTAGTTAGTGAGTAGTATAGATTTACATATATATATATATATATATATATATATATATATATATATATATATATATATATATATATATATATATATATATTGATCGTACTTTTGCTTGAATAACTATTATTGTTAGTTGCATACTTCGATACATAGAATACTCAACATTATTGCGAAACACTTCTTTTAGAGTTATCAAATAGTAAGGATAACAACACTGAATGTATCAATCGTTCAATAATAAAATTGTGCAAGGAGAGCACCTCATAAATTCGTTCGGAGCGAAGACCGGAGTCGGGCAATTTTACTTACTCTCACACGTCTGCACTTCCTTCTGGTAATCGACTGGATTATGAAGACGTCAATATTTCAGAGAAACTCGGAATACAGTGGACAGCTAGATGGTTTGGACTTTGCAGATGATCTAGCTCTTCTATCCCATATCGAACAATAATAAATGCACGATAAGACGACTAGTGTAGCAGCAGCTTCTGCAACAGGAGGTCTCAACATGCACAACAGAAAAAATAATAGGTATCATAGCATGCACCGACCGAATCAAACATAAAGTAGAAGTTTTGTAAGATGTGGAAATCTTTAAACCCCAGTGCAGCATCGTTTATACAGATGTAAAGACACGTACTCGGAGGGCGAAAGCGGCATTTCCACAAGTGAAAAACATCTAAAACTTAAAAGAACCATCAACTAACAACAAAGTCACAATTTTCAACACATATGTGAACACAATTCTACTGCATAATGCGGAAAGTTGAAAACGATCATCCGGAAGGTAAAGGTGTTTATTAACAATTGTCTACGCACGAGGCTGCGGACTCTCTGGTCAGACACCATCAGCAGCAACCAACCATATTCCAGCTGAAGAAGAAATTAGGAAAAATGCGCTAAGGGTCGATGGGACGCACACTAAGGAAAGCAAACAACTGCATCACTAGGCCAGCCCTAACTTGAAGTCCTCAAGACCGAAGGAAAAGAGATAGACTGAGTAAACAGATCTGAAAGGAATGGATAGAAATTAGGTTGAAATGGAAAAGAAGGTTCAGGATAGAGTAGGTTGGAAAATACTGGTCGGTTATCTATGATCAAGTGTGGAGGATAGGCGTTAGTAGGTGATGATTATCAGTTGCTTCATCATCAATCAATGTAAATACATTCAGTGCGAATAACCTATTATTAAAATAGCTTACATTATTTACCGGAAATTTTAAAAAAAAACTTAAAATCAGAAAACTGATTATAAGCTTTGAAAAATCAATAAACCGCTAAATTCTAATATGTTCCAAAAGAAATGTTACGAAATATTATTGACTCAGTAAACACTCTCTTTGTTCGTTGAATGAAAAGTAGCTTCGAAATCACAAAGTTCGTTAAAGAATCTTTCCAAGCTACTTCTCAACGAAGTGTCTTAGTCTATGAAGAAAGTACTGACGCTCTCGACATCCTACATAAACAAATTTTTACAAAACTAACTATCAACATATTACAGTTTTTCAGTCATTTAATCACATACATGAAGATATTGACAAGTTGTAGAGACATTTAGCAGATATGAGCTCACAACTATGTTATCTAATTTATACTATAGTCACAAGCAATTTTTCAAGAAGTTTATCGAGTAGATTGTGATCAGTATTTCTGATTGTGAGCTAATTCATACAAAATCATATTTTTATAAAAAGTGTTTAGTCTTTTTACACACTTTCGAAACCATGAATCGATCAATGTTAGACCACCATTAGAACGTGGAAGCACTGAAAGACGGCCGTTTTGTCCTGGTATGGGACTAATCAGTAGCAGTGCGCATCTACGACTCCTTCACCTCGCAGGATTCGAACCCGGGACCTTCGGTATTGTGCACGAACGCCTAACCATCGGACCACTGGGCCGGCATCCAACAGTGTTAATGTCTAACTCTGATTGATCTACGGATGAGTCCCATACCACGACGAAACGGCCGTCTTTCAGTGCTTCCAGGTTTCTAATCGTGATCTAACAATGATTGATTAATGATTTCATATGTTTATTGAGTTTATGTAATACACTTTCAAATCAACCCTAATCATTAAAGATTCATTGACAATTTTCCTGAACGTTAACTTATTTATTCTAAAACACTAGAAGAGAGAAAAAAACTCTCTCAGAAATATGATATATATATACATATATATATATATATATATGTCTTGTGAATCGAAGAAGAACTATTGCAGCATTGTAGCATACACAATTTCCTATCTGTTTATCACAAATTAACCAATGCTTTTAACATAAATCACAATTTAAAAATTAATCACCAAAGAGACATGGACTATAAATTCTGTCAGTCATAACATTAGTGGGTGTATTTGTTGTTTTTTTTCTGTTGTTTAAGGTTCGTTTGTAAAGAAAGAAAATGAACAACAGTGAAGGGAAAGATTGACAAGCCCCAAATAACAAATTCAATAATGATTGTGTTCTCTGTATATGAATCTATTTTTCCCCTCTTTCTTTCACATTATTATATAGTTTTTAATGTGAATTGTAAATAAGTGACAAAGCGAGCGAGAGAGAGAGAGGGAGAGTGAGGGAGAAAGAGGGAGAGAAGATGGTAGACAATGTACAAGACAGAAATGAAAGTAACCAGCTAGGTAAGTTATGAATGAACTTTACACAAAAACCAATTTCACATAAGCATGTATCACTAGTATGCAGATGTAGATAGCCAATAAATTCAATTGTAACTAATATAGAAAAAAAATTTTATCCAACAGTATTCATGAAGTGAAAGATTTCAAAAAAAAAGGAAATCGTAGTTTGAATGAAAGCATACTACTACTACTACTACTACTACTACTACTACTACTACTACTACTACTACTACTACTACATAAAACGATCTGTGCATATAATAAAATCAAACTTATAGATAAGTAAAACAATTTTAGTTCAATGATTAGCAAATATTATTGAAATCATGAATCAAACATTGTTAGACTATCGTTAGAAACCTGGAACATCTAACCAGTGACTATATTCATGGCGCAAATTCTCGGAATTCTAATGAAAGGACGTTCGTTATCACTGGAGTTCGACAATGGGTGAGGTTGGGTAATATATAGTAGATTAATTGAAGTTAGACATCCGCATAGCTGAACGTCGGTTCACTGGTCTAGTAGTGGTTAAGTGTTGGTGAGCGCGAGGCCGAACGTCCTGAGTTTGATTCCTGTTGGCGGATGTCATGCATACGCACAGTTGTGGAGTTCAATACTAGGACGACGAAACGGCCATCCAGTGCTTTCAAATTTCTAATATTGGTTCAACAATGGTCGATTCATGATTCGAATCATCAACAACAATCTCCATTACTCTATAATATAACAAACGATGAAATATTTACAGACTTTTTTTTAAAATACCACTTCTATGTTGCATCTCTCAGTTCTTTCTGGGTGTTGTTTTTGATGAGTCTTGTAGAATCATTGAGAATAGATATTACTTTGATGATATATTCGTTTCTGTTTAAGATCACGATTGATCTGATCCAAGCGGCATTACTGTTTCCTCTTTCATAAGTATTATAAATATTTTAGTTAGCTTGCACCTAAGATTTCGGAGTTGGTGTTTGCAATGTACAGATTGGTGATATCTACTAACTTTCTTTTTCATCGCTTATATATAAGTTTAGCATCTGACAGTGTCGATTCTGTTGCATTGGTTTTCGGAGTTGGAAATTTAAATCCGAAGGAAAGAGCTTACGTTTCGATGCGACTAGATGTTTTGGTTGCGGAATTCTGTATATGTTTCTATGGATTAATAGAAATAGCATCATATTTCTGTTCTTTTTAACAAGTATTTTGATTATTGTTTCCATAAATTTTAGACTGATGTTTGACCAAAAATTTTGAGCAAAATTCATGAGTTCGATTCACTCAACCATAACAATTATTAATCAAATGAAAAAGAGACGTTTTTTTACTTTAGAGATAAGTTCTTTGGTGCATTCGATTTGAGATTTTATGACTCGACGTAAATAGTTTAACCATCTCAAGTGATGAAATTCAGTCGCTCATTGGCATCACATGACTGAACCGAGAAACGCATACCAATGGATGCTAACTGAGGAGTTTAAAAGGCTGAAAGTCTTGTATAGGTCGTGCATACGTACTACTGAGGGGTTCAATACCATGATAAAACAAGTGTTAGTATTAGTATTGGTCCATGAGTGGTATAAGATTTACATTTTTGAAACCATGAATCGATCAATGTTAGATCACCATTAGAAACCTGGAAGCAATGGACGGCCGTTTCGTCCTGGTATGGGACTCATCAACAGTGCACATCCACGACTCCTGTACCCCGGTGGATTTGAACCCAGGACCGTTGTTATTGTACGCGAACGCCCTAACCGTTAGACCACTGAGCCGGTATCTAACTTGATCTTCACAACTTTGTAATGCAAATCACCCGTGCTCACTAGTGACTAGCTTCGTGAGGAATCTTCTCCGAGTTCTAGTGGGAAGACGTGACCAGTGAAGTTCAACCTGTTCGGCTGAAGGTAGTGTCTACGGAAGACTGTGTATGAGGTTGCGCAACTCCATGAATTTGTTCAAGCTAGACATTAACATCGTTAGATACCAGCTCAGTGGTCTAACGGTTAGGCGTTCGCGCACAATAACGAAGGTCCTGGGTTCGAATTTCGCGGGGTGCAGGAATCGTGAATGCGCGTTCCGCGTCCCATACCAGGACGAAACGGCCGTCTTTCAATGCTTCCAGGGTTCCTATAGTGGACTAACACTGATCGATTCATGGTTTCAAAAATGTGTAACTTAGCAATATTCACAACCCCTTAATGTGATATAAGATATGATAATTGAACAATCGCCACAATCCCTTGTGGTCATAACTTCTATACATGTTTATTTCATTCGCATCATAATGATGTTATTCTACGAGGAAAAAAACTATGCACACTGATAAACATTCAACCACGTACCTACCTACATGCACACACACACACTCACACTCTACACATCACCTTAAACAAAAAAAAAACAAATTTCACTTAATAACAAACATTAACCAGGCCAGAATTGACTTGCAATAATAAGCCAGTTGAATGTGACAGCGAATATGAAAGAAAGAAAGAATGAAGAGAAAAATCGTAAACAACAACACACACTACAAACAGATAGCCACATCAACAACAAGAACAACAACAACATGGAAAGCGAGAAAGATAAATGGGAAAATTTGTTACATCATCCTCATCATCACCATCTGCCATTTTCTCGAGCTTGTTCATATTCTGGTTTCTTCTACAATCCCATATATTATTATTATTATTATTATTATTATTATTATTATTATTATTATTACTATTTCATAATCATTTGTATACTGATTTGAAAGGGAAAAAGGGAAGAGATTTTATGCATTGCTTTCTTGTGACCGTGACCATACACACACGTCTTTATTAGTTTGTGTTTTTTTCGTCAAAAATCACTAAATTGGTTACTTTTTCTGATGCCTTGCATAGAATAGTTTCTATTTTTTTTTTTAAAAAAAAAATTTCAAAACTAGAGCTACATTTGTGCACACACGGATTTGTTGAAAACTTTGTTAAAAAATTGTGCAAAAAAATGCACGCACACACACACACACAATGATGCGTTTAATAAAGTGAAGTTGAAAAAAATAAGAGGAAAAAAGCAAACTGAACTTTGTGCATGCAGCAGCACAGCAGAGAAAAAAAAATGATCAGAACAACTGTTTTCCAACTGTCATGTAATAATTTGTTAATGTTTTGTGTGTGTTTTTTTAACGATTTTGTTATTTTTGGGGTTTGTTGGTTTCTTCTCTGCATCTTCACACACACACACACACACACGCGCACACACTCTTCAAGCCCACAAAGTAGGCAAGCCGTGACACTTGGTAAACTAGAGATTGTTTAGTTTGTCTCTTGTTAACTTAACTTTCTTATTTTTTTTTCGGTGTGTGGGTGGGGCGGGGGGTTAGTAGGATTTCTTTATTAATGATCTGTTTGTACAATTCATTTGCTTATATAATAATATTTAGGTGTACAGTGTAGAAAAAACACCAACGGTTCATTTTATCTACAATATATATATATATATATATATATATATATATATATTATTCACAGAGTTCATTGTGTTTACAATCTGTTTGATTATTTATAGATTGGTTAATTAATTAAATAATGTCCCTTTTTTGACAGCAGCTGATTGATAAGTCAGTAATGATTATTGTCATGTTCAATGCATTTTTTAGTGCTGATTGAATTTTATCGATCTGCTTACAGTTTGGGTTCACTAGTTTGAATAATTTGACAAAACATCCACCAAGTATAGTGAATAGGTAATCTGTTAACTGTAGACCATAAATTTAGTTAAGTGAATAAGGGTTTGAGACTCACAGATAATAGTATCAGTTCGTTAAATGTTGTACGTATACCATGCTGATCAGTATTGAATAGTACAAAACCTAGGCTTAGAATTTCCTGCTGACCAGATTCATCTGTTTTCAACATTTCAACTAGTGGTCACACTATATAACCTTGGTCAATAGAACTCTATCAGCATTCAGAAGGAAAATAAAGCTGGAGAAAACATGACACAAAGCAATTAACTGGTATGATTCTTGCTTTAATGTATTATCCTGTATTCACTTAAGGCAATAATAATAATATGAAAAGGGTAGAAATAGGACAATTAGAAACCAATTCAATACGAGTAAAATAAGCAATTTACTTTATTCTAAAAGAAGTATAACTCTCTGTTTATAAGGCTGTATTTCTATGGTTTGTTTTGCTACAAACTCTCGGTTATTTCCTTAAGTCACAAGATCAACCGACATACTTATCTATCGTCGGCCTTATTATCGGTCAAGAAGTGATAAGATCCTTTACAAATGTTTCGATAATTTAAAATAATTGATTAAGATTGATTAATTTTTTCAATAGTAGGGAGTAAGGAAACTGAACCTCTTAACCATTTCATATATATCGAAATTTTCATGTTCAAGGAATTACCATTAAAAAAAAATCTAGAGTCGTATTCAGAAACCTTACTATGGCTTTTGACAACTTGAGCCAGACTGTATTGATAATATGATATCCATATCTTAACCAAATGAAAAAAACATACTACTCAATAGTTTATTCGTTCCTATGTTATTAAAAGATGATTGCAAGAGGATGGGACACACATTGCAGAAAGCACCTAACTGAGTCACACAACAAACCCTTACTTAGTACTCTCAAGAATAAATGAAAAAAGAAGGACCAAGGAACACATTGTGCAGATAACTAACTGGAGACAACAGGCACGAGAAGAATGAACATCAGTTGGATAGAACTGGCGAAGCTCCAGGGCAGAGTAGGTTGGAGAACGATAGTCGGCGGCCTATGCTTCGTTTGGAGTGTAGTGGAACACTTCTCGTTTGGTGAAAAATAAACATTTACTATTGTACTTGTTTTGTTTAATTGTACCAAAAACACTTACTTGCACGCAGCGTTCTTTTCACGTCGCTACCATTTTTCATAACTAGCCGCTCTCTAAGTAATGCCTACATTTGTTCTTCAAATAAATATTAAAACATGGATTTATTTCTATTAAATGTGACGGGATAGTAACAAATACACAGTGGTGATCATAGTCAATCTCGACTCGATCACCACCAAAAGGGGTGACAGGCGTAAGTAAGTAAGTAAGTAAGTAATTGCATAAGTGCATAAGTGCATAAGTAAGTAAGTAAGCAAGTAAGTAAGTAAGTAAGTGCATAAGTAAGTAAGTAAGTAAGTAAGTAAGTAAGTAAGTAAGTGCATAAGTAAGTAAGTAAGTAAGTAAGTAATATTTCACTAATGGTTAGAAACTCTAATAAGAAAAATTGCTGAATCAGTAAAGAATCAATAAGACCTACCTTCATCATTTCCAATAAATGATGTTTCTCTAGTTGGATCAGATCCGATTGTAATTGGAATTTGCATACAATGATCATGTTTACCGTCTTTATCACCTTGCATACGAAGTCGTAACTGAAAACAACAAATAATCATAAAATAATGATCATGATAATCATTTAAAAAATGTTTGTCTTGATTACAAAATCAATGAAAATTTTAAAAAATGTATATGGATTCTCAGCAGAGCTCATTTTACAAGATTCAAATAGCGTGAATAAAAGTTTAACTTTTCAAACAATTGAGCAGATATTCAAGTGTTAACAAAATGTTACAATTCCAACATCATCAATTAATAATCTCTGACATAGTTCAATGCATTTTCTATTATGTCTGAGCTCTATCTAACCAGCTATGATTTCTTACAAAAGAAAATTTGAAAAACATTATGATAAATAAATCGGTGATAAGTTTACTACGATTTTTTAAAATATTTGCCTAGACAACATAAAGTATATTCATTTAAAAAAAGTTTTTTTTGATTATAGGGTTGTGAAGATTGTTGAGATTGATTGGACTCATCAATCGATAATTGGTAGGACATCGTTAGAAACCTGGAAGTACTGGACGGTCGTTTCGTCCTGGTGTTGCGACTCATCAGCAGTGCGCACCAAAGGACTCCTGCTACTCGCAGTATTTCGAACCCTAGATCCTTGCGTGCGAACGATTAACCTCCAGACCACTGGGTCGACTTCCAAAAGTGTGGCGCAAATCCTCGGTTTGACCAGAGTCAGACATTAACACCGTTGAATAACGGCCCAGTGGTCCAGAGGTTAAGATTTAGCCGCGCAAGACCGAAGGTTCCTTTGGTTCGACTCCTGCGGACGTATCGTTGATGAGTCCCATACAGGGATGAAACCGCCGCGCAGTGCTTCCAGGTTTCTAGCACTAAATAGTCTAACAACAATTTATTCATGACTAATTTAAAGTAACACTACAATTTTCATAATACTTTAATGCAGAGCGTACTATTATTGTGATCTATCTTATTCATAATTACTGATTGATACAAATCATATCCAAATAAACATTGAATACAACCTTTCAATTTATTTCTCTCTACATCAAAATATCAAACTTACAATTAATGAATATTCTAAATAGATTAGATTTTGTCTACCAAACAATCCACTGGTTGGCAATGGTGGTACATGAATCAAATCGGTGAAATAAGCTTTTCCACCTTGACCTGGTACAGCTACACTATTTGACGATGATGAAGAATGATGCTGTTGTTGTTGTTGTTCATGCGTCTGCTGGTCATGATATCGTTGTTTTTGTTTTGAATGTAATGATGGTTGAACATGTGGCTCTTTTCTATTATTTACACTGTTGTTGTTGTTGTTACGTCGACTTCGTTGCTGTTGCTGCTGTTGATGTTGGTGTTGGGAACGTTCAAAACGATTAGTTGAACTTTTTGATGAAAATGAATTCGATGGAGAAAATAAACTACCAATTCTATTCATATCTAATTGTTCAAATAAATCAAATTCTGACAGTGTAGATTGTGCATTCAATTTAGTTGCGAATATACGTAACACTTCAATATGATTTTGTGCATGGATACCTTTTAAAAAAACTGTCTTTAATAGAAAAAATTTTCATTAGATAAACAGAAAGGAAAGAAGAATATGAAAATAATGTTTTTTTTTAAGTTTTATTTTTAATACTAAAGATATGAAAATTAATTATTACAGGTGTACTATATAACGAATTGAGTGCACTTGGAAAACTAATGAAAATCAGGTAGTATTCGATAGATGTTTCTTTAGAGGATTTAACTTTTCAGTAGGGAACGGTCAACTATATAACGACTGAGCTTACAACTAATGACTGGCACGGCTGTCCAATACTTCTTGGGTTTTTTTTCACTAGTCGTCCAAGTGAAATAAGTCCTTAATATAAAACTGACTTTTTTTTCATAGAAAAGTGTTTTGGGAGAATTTAATTCCAAAATATGAATTCGTCATCTATGGCTTTGAGCCATACACATCTCCAAACATTATGGTGACTGGCTCTCTAAAAGATTATAATCAAAGGTTCAATCCTGTTGCATCTAGTTAACTCCGGTCACTCCGTTTCATTAAAAGCCTCCTTCGAAATCCTACAGTCAGAAGAATCAACTCAAGAGAAGTGAACTTATATATATACAACAGAGCGTATTGCCATCTACCAGTTTAAGTCTAACTTCTGCACATAAAATTGGTCTGTTCAGTCTCTCATTCTTCCATAATCTTAACTTTTCTTTCTACCGTCCATAATTCACTGAATTTTTTCATCGAAACCAATAATTATCCATTTGAAATCATCAATCAATCACTGTTAGACCACCATTAGAAACCTGCAAGCACTGGAAGGCCGTTTCGTCCTGGTATGGGACTAATCAGCAGTGCGTATCTACGACTCCCGCAACTCGCAGGATTCAAACCCAGAACCTTCGGTATTTTGCGCGAACGCCTAACCGTTGAGCCGATAGGCCGGCATCCAATGGTGTTAATGTCTAATCCTGATTGATCTAGGGATGATGATAAGTCCCATACCAGGACGAAATGGCTGTCCAGTGCTTCCAGGTTTCTAATGATTGATTGATGATTTCAACTGTGTAAAAAAACACCAATCTCCATAACTTCAATTGAAAATAATTATCCATTATTAAAACTTTTAATTATTTTGTTCCTTATCGCTATCAAATGAACGATTATCATCACCTTGACACATTATACTAGCTGATTTTCGCCAAACGTCTCATTACAAAACATTATTTCATGACTTTTAATTAGCTAACACTATTCTAGTTCCCTGTGGACTATTATTTCAGCAAAGAACATGAACTATGAAGAGATAGTACAGTTCAAGTGAAGGAAGAAGAATTTTGCCATGAGACTATAATTTATGGATGACCTTTGAGCGGTGCGAAAGTGACCTTGATAGTATTCACTAGCAGCCTATCAGGGTTAAAGAGGGTTGTAACCCATATAAATTAATTAGGAATAGGATTTAGAGTTGGAAGTTTATTTTATTACGAACAATAGTCCCAAACTATTACTGAACCATATGGACAAACAAATCTAGCACCAAAATCTAGAACTTGTTATCTCAAATGTGATTGGTTTGTTGTCCTCTGTCCTCTCTTCTTAAATAATACAACGAGTCATATTCTGTATCGTATTTCCATTAACTAATGAAAAAATATTCATCAAAAACTTATTCAGTTGTAACATTGGAAGATATGGAGAAATCTTCTGCCATGACGATTGATCACAATATGAATTGAAATGGTCGTGAAAAATTTTTTTCTCTGACCTCGTGTTATTGATCAATTTTAACAGGGATTATGAAAGATAAAATATCAAACAGAACAGTTGTTTTTTTACATGACAGAAATCTATCAATAGTATAAGCTTGTTTGACTTGATTTAGTTTACAGAAAGACAATTGAGTGGAATTTCTTCCAAAAATATAATCTTGTCAAGTAACATGGTTAAATTTCTGAAAACATAGATTTTATTGTTATGAAAACGTCTACTTGTCAAATATGTGACCATTTATCTATCTATCTGTGTGTAATTCAATTTCTTTCCAAGTATGTCGTAAAATATTTTAAAAACAATAACGATTTGTAGTATTATTTTTTAGTTTAAAAACTAATTACTTAAAATAAATAATATTGAATAGAATTGACTGATAATTTTTATTTTTTTCAACATTCAATTAATTCAGTCGACTTATCACGAAACATTGACAATTTATTTAAGGAAATTCGGCAGGCATAATAGTTATAGGGAAATGTTGACATGAACTGTACGTGATAATATGGTAAATGAAGAGTTATGGAGTTGAGTTGAGTTTCACTGAAATCGATCATTGTTAGATCAGCACTGGAAACCTAGAATAGCTGGGTGGTCAGCTCATCCTAGTATGGGAATCATCAACAGTTACCACTTGCTCACTAGTGACTAGGTTCGTGTGACAAGTGAAGTTCAGCTGTGTCGAAAATGAGATATTTATCCACAGAAAACGTAGATTGATTGAATTAAGACATTAATTACACCGAATACCGGATCAGACGTCTGGAGGTTAGGTGTTCGTTCTCACAGGAGACCGAAGGTCCTAGATAGGATTGCTGAGTGCAGAGGTCGTGAATGCGCACTGCTGATGAGTCTCATACTAGGACGAAACGACCATGTAGTACTTCTATGCTTCTTTCCAATGTTCGTCTAACAATGACTGATTCCTTGATTACGATGTGAAATATGTAAATTATTTGAAAATAATGAAAAGCAAATCATTTCTTCAATTGATACTGATAATAATGATAATAATAATAATAATAATAATAATAAAACATACTTGTGCAAATGTTAAATGTACAGTTTGTATAGCACGACTAGATCGATTTGTGATATGAACTTGAGGAATAATTGTTTCACCAGGAACAAATCCAGTTTTATTCACAGCTAAATCGCATAGAATTAATCCACTTGGATGTGAACAACAGCCTAGCGATACAAATTCACGATGTAATGTTATTCGATCCTATAAAAGATAATTTGAAGTTCTAAACAAAAATTAAACCAGACATTTAATGATAAATATTAGATAGAACTTGAAGTGTTTATTGGCACACATTAACCAAATGGTGGAAATAATTCACATTGACAATAATCTACTATCATGTTAATGATTCCGGGGTAGTCAAACAGAAAACACTGAACTTGATGCGTTTTGTGCTAGTCATCATCAATTGTCACTAAGTTGTGAGTACAATCTTAAGAGTTGATGATTTTTACCCATAAAATTTGAATTATCATCTTTCTGCTTTACAAACTGAAATAAATATTTAGAGTAAGTATTTCAACTCATAAGGTGTATTAAGTTCCTCAGGAATCCATCTGCATCTGCCTGATGAGTAACAAACAATACGCATTCCAGATTAAGTTGGGTTTCCTGCTGACCACTTCCAATCACCTAACAAACACCACGACACTCAATGTATGCTATGTCGAGTCACACAGATTACTGGACAAACTTTAACTTGACTGATAGAATCCTATCGACATTTAAGGATTGAAGTGATATAACATTGTTCACTACTTAGTTGTCAATCAATTGTAAGTCTTGTACCACTCAACTAAAGATGATACATCAACGCATATTACAGATTATACTCCAAGCCATAATTCATCTATTCTACGAAAAATAGTATAAAAATAACTATATGGAGGCTATCCACATAGACTACTAATGGATCAACAAAGACTGGACTGAATTCACTCAAACTCAATAATAGCAGGATGATTCAAATCACCCAAATATTTATTCTAGGCTTCAGTGGATGAAAAGTTGAAATATCTCATCTTAACCAATTGTGCTTAGTCAGATTATGTTACTTTTTATTAAATAAAATGGTTGATCATGCTACAATAGGTAAGGTAAAGGCTCTGCACTGCTGATCATTTGGTTATTTGATAAATCTTAAGTTCTCTAAGACGTAATATATTACATTTAAAATATATGATATACACAAAATGAAGCTGATCAAAAAATTCTTGATAATTAATTATATTTAGTTATCTATATGGTTTGCTGAGAAATTCAACGTCAAACAAGTCCGAGATTATTGGAAATACTTAAGTGTTGTATATTGCTGCTATTATTTTCCTAGTGAATAATGTACTGGCTTTTTATAAAAGTAAACTTTCTCTTTGATTATCTCAATCATTTTGTTCAACATTAAAAATAACAAATTCTTTTTCCTATCGATTGTTAAATTCTGCCTATTCCCATATTATTTTTGTTAACAGTTCATTGAATAAATCACGATAACAATGATTGATCCTCATTTCAGTCATAAACAACAATCTCTATAAATTTACAGTGAAAAATCATACAATGTGCTGCTCACTAGTGACTATCTACACGAGAAAATTCTCCGAGTGCCTAGTGAGAAGACGTTACCGATGGAACTCAGTCTTGTCAGGTATAAGTAGTAACAAAAAAAAGACAAATTGGTGACGTCGCATAAAATCCCTAGATTGATCGGAGTCCGACATTAACACCATCGGATGCCAGCCCAGTGGTCCAGAGATTAGGCGTTCGCATGCAAGAACGAATGGCCCGCGTTCGAATCCTGCGCATAGCAGGAGTCAAGTTTGCTCAGTGCATATGAGTCCCATCCCAGGACCAAGACAGTCGTCCAGTGCTTCCATTGTTTCCAATGGTGGTCTTTCTAACCATGATTAGTTTACATTTCAATAATAACAAAAACACATACTGAAAAATATAACCGACTAATACAGTTTATTTGTACATTCGGTTGACTTAAATTATCACAAGTACCGTAAATTTAATTTACTGTTATACAAGAATAACAATAACAATAAATAACTTTATGCTGAAAATCACCTATTTGTGTCGAAGTAAACATGAGAAAAAATAGACTAGCTCTTTTCTTTTTGTTTCTTTTAGTGCAAATCATAAATCAATGAGATAGATGTTGAAAGAATTTTTTAAAAAATGTTTCTTTTTTTCCTAAAAAAAATTGAATTGTAATTTTGAAAAAAGAAAAAAAAACAAGTTTTTTTTGTTTTTAACCGAAAATCATGCTAAATAAATAGATCAGTGTAAAAATGCTGGCTGACATGTAAACACCGAAAACAAAAAATTAAAGAAACAAACTAATTATTCATAATTAAAGATTATTTTTATCAGTGATGACAAAAAAACAAAGTGTTCACTGGTAATTATGAATTAGTGAAATGTCACGGATGAATTATTGTCAGGCCATCATTGTACATTGAACATTGAAATAATATATTCTGATTATTATTATTATTATTATTATTATTGTTATTATCAGTATATTCGGCACATTTCACTACTTTGTATCACATATAAGCGAACAATATTGTTTTCGATTAGATCGTCATCAGGTTTTACTCTGATATACATGAATATTTATATGAAGAAGTATACGATAAAAAACTGAGTTTCCTTGACATCACACTAAGTAGAAGCGTGTATAGAAAAAATCCCAGTGCTTGCTAATACGCTCACTTTTGTAGTTTTACACCTATCCGCTACAAAAGAAATTTGGTTAGATGCCTCACTAACAGAGCAAATATGATATGTTCAATGGATACTTTAAGTCAGGAGCTGGAATTCATCAACGACTCACTAACCGAGATTGGTTATCCCAGCGCATTTTATAAAGAAGTATATGTTTGCCGTAAAAAAGAAGTCGGTGGTTTCAACCGCCCAAAAGAAGCCTTTATTTATGAAGTTACAATTCAACGGAGATGTGGCCTGCGATACTCTGCAGGACAGATTAATAAGAGTAATTAGTAGAACATTCAACGCTGCCAAACTTGCATTGACTTTCTCCAGTCGACCAGCGATGTCTACTCAAACGAAGGATAAGTTACCTGAGTTGGCCTCCTCTATGTGCATTTACAAATTCAGCTGCTCCTGTGGAGATAGCTATATCGGGCGTACTTCCAGGCAACTTACCCAACGAATTAGTGAACATCTCCCGGCATGGTTTACGAAGGGTCAGTCAAAAACAATACGCAGTTCTATCTTAGCGCACCTAATAGATAGTGGTCTTATTGTAGATAAAGCTAGATCTTTTTGGGTGATCTATCGTATACCTCCATCATTTCCCAACGGAGTTTGATCCCGCCATAGCGATACGTACATTCAACCCCAATTTATGTGTTTAGAAGAAATTCGTGACACCCCTATCTCTTCCGTGGCCGGATATGACGTAACTAACGATTGACATTATATATATTTTTTATTTATTGTAATTTTATTTTTACACATCTGCTTATTACGTAATGTTTTTGATGTTTTTTGATGATTATTTGAATTCTATTCATCCACCTTTGACCTACTTTACTTTTCATATTTTATAAATTTTCCTACTATTATCTGTTCACCTATCTTCCTACTATCCACTTGTAATTTTGCCTTTTTCATTTCATTGTGATTATCCCTCATATTGCCTTGATTCGTTTAACATTTTCATTTCAATATTCATGTATATCAGAGTAAAGCCTGATGATGATCTAATCAAAACCAATATTGTTCGCTTATATGTGTTGTTCTAATTTTCACAATGGGAATCTTTAATACTTTGTATCAGTTTAAAACATTGTCGAAGTAATAATACTACAATAAATTTGTTAATCTTTTTTGTCAGTTTCATCTTAACTGCATGTAATATTTAAAAAAATTTTTACTATTTAAACAAAATTGACAATTGAACGTATCAATAGTTAGTTTATCAGTGAAAGTTGATTAAAGAAAAAATTGAAATTATAACTGTCATGGAATGCGCCATTTTTTCTTCTGTTTATAAATAAATAATTCAAGTTAATGATATGTAGAGAATTATTAAAATCTATTTGAATTGTGATTAAGACTATAACTTAAAAGAGACAAAATAAATTTCTTTATCGAACAGTTGCATGTTAACAATTTACTCTTTTGCTTGTCGCAAGATAATATTCATATTTCAATGTTAGATGTTGAAAGATGGACCTCTGGAAATCTTACTGAACGTAGTTTTCATCCTGTCTGGGCATATCTATAATCACAATAAGGGAATTGATCTAGGTATAATTAACTGGTGAGTCCCAAATTTCGTGAAACTTTAGTTGAGCATGATTATAGTTAGTCATTGAAATTATTCGACCAGTAATCAAGAACTAGACAAAAATAACATCGAATGTGATGGTTCAGATGGATGAGCCTCAGTGGGGCAGATTCGAATGATTTATCGATTAGTTCGAATATGCTTAATTTATCCACCTTAATATAACGCGTGTTAGCTTTATCTATATATCGATATTAGGCTTCTAACTTGATAACTCCTAGTGGAGCTTATCTGTGCTTATTTATAGGATTGTGACACATGTCTATTCGTTAATTTTTTTTGCCGAGTCATATGATATACATCGTAGTCTTAGATGGAATTATGCAACATCTGTTGCAACTCTGAGAGATAATACGAGTATTGTAAACTATTTTCTATAATTAGTAGAATGGATAAATTATAAAGTACATGATTCTAAATTTGATTTTCATCCAAATATGATTTAAAACCAAAGTGACATTCTGTATTTTTGTATAATAAAGCAAAACCTTAACAAAATACTGAAATGAATCACTTTACATTTCTTTTCATTATTTATGCGGTAAATGTCAGTCATTCGATACAACGTACATTGTGGTATCTTTACGTATTCATCTGAATTTTTTCACACCTCATTAATGCAGCATTGTGAAATTATTAGGACAAATACCAGAGTAATAGAAATAATAACAATATTAAAATTAACAGAAAAGTTTCGGTATAGATAATGTGATTTGAGAAGTAGGAATTTATTTGTGAAATGAAAAGCATACAACAGTTCGAAAACTGAAGATTGGAGGGAAAACGAAGAGTGAATGTATTTGTGATAGTGTTACATACCGACGTTAATTGCTGGTTTGATCATGTCCAGTCAATCAGTCATTTACAACGTTGGACT